ATATATATATATATATATATATACCGGTATATAATAATAATTTGACTACTTCTGTATTCTTTGTCAACGCATGACGAAAAATGAACTAATTATAGGCCTAATCATAATTTTTACTATTATTATTATTTTTTTTAATTAATTATTCCCATTGGTATGCAGTGTAATTATGGTGCTACAGCAATATATTTAATTACTTACCATAAAGTGATTGTATACCAGTAATATCGTCATAGGGCAGCCTAAAGTTGGGCACATAGCCCCGGTAAAACGGCGCCATGAGAGCATTGACGTCAGACGAATGGGCTAAGCCTAGACTGTGACCGATCTCGTGGGCTGCCACTTGTAATAAGTTGATGCCTATAATGTGGGATATATATTATATAGGTTAATTGTTCATAACTAGCAATGCAAGTAATGTCAATAGTTAGTCAGATTAAGGAGTTTCAAAACATACATAAGCCATATTTTAAAACAATCATTAGAATGTTATGATAATGATGATGATGATGGTAATGATGATGATGATGATGATGATGGTGATGATGATGATGTTGTTGACGACGACGAAGATAATGATGCAATGTTCATAATGATGATAATAATGGTGATTATGATGATTATTGTAATTGCAATTGTAGGCCTGTTAATAATATACAGTAGGCCTATGATTTTGACATACATAATATAGCGCATAATACTAGTACTTGGTCTCTGTGCACTTCAACACTACCACGATGATAATGCGATGATGGTGATTATGATTAAAATAACAATACTAATTATGATGCTGATAATGATGACTATATTGATAACAATGATGATAATGATGATGATGATGAATATGAAGTTAATGTTGATTATAATAAAAATGGTGATGATGATAACCAACATAATGATGACGATGTTGATAATGACCATGATAAAGATATGACAATGATAATATGATGATGATGATAATTATTATTAATATTATTATTATTGATATATATCATTTAGGCCTATAATATTATCTGACAAAATACATGTTAGTAAATATTAACGCAAGGAGTACTTGGAAGGACTCAGCTGATGATGTTAAACTAATGAAACTTGTGGTTAATAATTCTCAAGCATGACTCGTTACCTCTGACGTTGTTGACACTAAAACTTTCAGATTCATCAAAATGGACATCTCCGTCAAGATCGCCGAACCCATCCTGAGGGGGATATGCGTGAGCCAGTGTACCGCCAGGACCATCAAATGGGTACTGGTCCCCGTGGCTATAGCTACCAAATGACATCATAATATCTGCTATTTTATTCTCAGTTATTTCTTCAAACGTGAGAGGCGTGACGTCACTCCAAACTTTAAAGCCGCGCCTAATGGCATCGATTTGATCGTTTTGCGGGAGGTCAGGAGATGAGTTAATGATTCTGGTATACATAAAGAGATCAAAAACTTAATGAAACCATCGTCAATAAGCACCAACAAACATTACTTTACATGATAGAACGATGTTCTCTTCATTGATTGCTTAAAATGAGGCTGGAGTAAATAATAGGCCTACGTTTAATGTATACTTTACCTATAAGTTATGCGTGTTTTATCCCATCGTCCTCCGGTATGGGCGTATCGCTTGAGCCTCCCTCCCAAAACTGAACCGTTATTGGGGGAGTCAACAGGGTCAGGAACTCCACATCTCGGCATTTTCATCAAAGCGATAGTTGCATTGTCTAGAATACCAGTTTCTTCTAAGCCGTTAAACCTCTGCATATTCTTTACAGCTTCACTAAATTCTTCCTGTGTCATTAAATCTTCCACGTTTCCAACTGGGTTTAAATATCCATATTTTTTCATAAAGTCCTGCATAAAAATAATTCAGAAGTTGGGTAAAGATCCGCATATAGTACAACAATCATCACTAAAAATATGTGCATTGTATTCATATACACGTCACGTGATTAATTGAGATTTAGGTCAGTTAAATAAATTGAAGTTTATGCAACATTGCCGAGAAGTGCAAACAATTACCGGTATAAGTCATTGATTAGGGTTGGTTACGTTAGTTGAATGATTGATTGAATATTGATTGATTGGTTGACTGCGATCGATCGATCGATCGTTTGATTGATTGATTGATTGATTGATTTTACATCAATACATTTTCATTGTAACAATTCGCAACTGACTCATCACCGTCTTGGCCTGATAAAAGGCAACCAACGTCATATGCATTGATATCTTCTTGGAGAATACAAACTTCGGATGCTAAAGGGAAATAATTAAAATTCAAGCCTCCTTTGGGCAATTACAGCGTGGATGGGGACCAACACATCACAGAACGCGCATGCGCTAGACAGATCATTTGGACTACACACCCATAATAACTTTTCCATTTGTCTTTTTATCTTTCATACTTATTTCAATAGGCTATCAAAAAATATAATTTGCGTTAACATCTGATTGATTCGCTATCATTCTTTAATTAGGCCTACTCTGAAGTTGAAGACTTTTAAGAATAAGGAGGGCTGTGGCATATCTAGGGGTGCATTGGGGCGCACGCCCCCCCCCAAATACATCTCCACCCCCCTCCATGGCCCATCCCTTCAAAATCACGCTCAAGTTTAATATTACCATATATTGCAAGCTAGTACCCGTCACCAATCATCGAGTTTCCACCCCACATCTCATTCGTGCCCCCCTCCCACCAATTTCAATCCTAGATACGCCAGTGAGGAGAGATGAAAAAAAGGAACGATAGAGATAGGATCTGTAGAAAAAATTTCAATTTCATCATAGAAGTGAAAGAAGCCTTTAAAAACTATTGATAATAATATAATGAGAAAAAGTGTTAATAATGACGACAAATCCCCGACTGTCTAGATCGCTTTCCTCAAAAAACATGGAATCAATTTTTAGTAATTCAATTAGGCCTAAGATCTATGCATTGCAAAAGTAGGTATCAAATTTCTTTGTTAAATGAGAAAGTAAAAGCTAAATGTAGCATACACACTAGGCTCTGCTTAGTGTATTATAAGGAAATACAAGTTCTTTAATGAAATTTTGTAGTATAGGCCTACCGTTACATATTCTTCTCAATAAGCCATTATGTAGTCTGAACTTTTCCCTCCAGCCAGTTATTGTCGGAATTGCCACAGCAACCAAGAAACGAGTGCAACACATTCATGTTCAAACGTTTAAAATTGGCGCGTTATTTTAAATATGAATAGCTTTAAAAAATATAAAAATAACATCTAAATTTAAGTACAAAAATTACATCATTGTCGATTTTGTTTCTAACGCAAATTAAGTGGGATCGAATTCCCCCTAGCCTCTGGAAATATCAACCTAGTTTAGAAATTATGGAGGGTGTGGGTTCGATTCCTAGCCGTATCACTGGAACTTCGTTATTTTCATGGGTGTTCGGGGACGTACTGAATTCACACTTTATTACATTGGATGTTGGATCATATAAAGGAATACACTTAATAATAATAATAATAATAATAATAATAATAATGGTGTTTGTATTATCAATAATAAAGTATTGATGGGCATATTATTAATACTAATCCATAATTACGTTTATAATTAGTAATATATTATCATTAAGTACTATCGTATTAAATACGTAATAATTAATCATATTATAAGACCTCATTATTATTATCATCATAATTATTATTTCAATTAGAAATTCTGATAATAACAATGTTTCTGTAGATACCATTTTGAAAGCATGTGGCCATGGTTGGCATAGTTCCTAACCACAGGTACACGAAAATTTGTAGGCCTATTTATTCATACACATCCAACAGCAATTAAATCGTCAATTAAATGGAAAGATGCTTGTAAACAAGACAGACATGCCAACAAGATGCTTTAATAAAATAAGTCTCATTACAAGGCTTGGAATTGTCCTTGGTCATATGAAAGAAATCAGGCACTATCACATGGAATTGAACCCAGGGCATTGGTATTTGGAGGCAAGTATCACCAATCTACATCTCCACTAAAGTGATGATTCAAATCGAATCAAAATCAAATCAAAGTGTATTCTTTCTATTTGTTGCTACTTTACGGAAGTGAAAGTAATATAATTTCTAATGACTGGCGAGAAATTTTGACTGATGGTTGGATCATTAAGTTACCTTAATGGATGGAGTTGTCGAGAGAAATGTAATGTGGAATACCGGGGGAAAGGTCATGTTGTGACCGGGTTTATTATTTTTGTATAATCCCAAGTTTACATAATACCAGTTGCACATTAAAAGGGTGAGTCATCTTGCATACAAATGAAAACCATAAAAGTAAGAATGAAATCCTTGACCTAACTTGCGCGTTAGTCATCATAAGCCACAATACCTTTTACTTAATAGATGATTATTCTGTATTTCAATTCGCGCGGGTATATAACCAATACCATATCCAATAATTTAGTTGAATTGAGGATAATGACCTTTGTTCCACGAGTATTCTAAATCTTGGCCTACTTTATACATATTTCAATGAATACGGTAGCATAGCAAATGGAAACTAAATGTTTCCAATGGCTCATCACATCCGGGTTGTTTTCTCCAATATCATTCCTCTCTCCCATAATGACGTAATATGGAATCTTAATTGACATGAACTGTCATCTTAAATCGGTGCTCTCATATATTATAATAATTATATAAAGGTACAAAGTACATTTCTACAGTCACGGTTCACACATTTTACGTACTTTAAGCCTATTGGTGTTATGCTTACCGTAACATTCTGAACACGGGGGAATGGTTGGTTGTTGAGGTCAAGTGTAGGTCTACTATCAAATCTGTTTTATATTACATTAGAAAGAGAGCAGTTGACTGCTTTGGAACAATCTTCCATTCTGTATTCAACCATAAATTATTTAGGCCTAATATAAAGATCTAGGCGTATATTTGGAGCAAAGCCCCGCCCTTAGATATTATTGCTAACACAACTACAGCTTTACTTATACGTATAAGTTAGCCTGGGTTCCAGGCCTTAATTTTGGGTTACTCACTCTTTACTGCGCTTAGTGCGCGCCATACCTAATTTAATTGGCGTCCCATATTCGGGTTTTTTTGCCGGAACGTATACGTCAACACGAGTGTTTTTGTTCCGTTTGTCAGCTGTCTGATTGACACTCCAGAACATCTATTTAAACACCAATTTCTTATTATGATACACTGGAAATGAGAATATTGTGTTTATAGTATAAACTAAATATAAACTTCAATTTGGTACAGTAGTTATTTCAACGCAGAGTCATTGAACATCACATTAATGGAGAGAACTTTTAAATACATGCCAATTCTCTTCTTTCCATGATAAACTTACTGTTGGGGACTACTTTTAACGATTATCTTGCGGGGTTGGTTTTTGCATTTCAATCATCAGATCATCTGTATGCCAATTGATATTTCGATTTTTGGGAGAAAATTCCGGTTTTCAGTCGTTATTGACATTTTTTTTACAAATTGTTATGATTATTACAATGATCTTCTAATAGTAATTAAAATGCACTCCATTAGGCCTACTATATGCATTATGGTTAAAATTCTTTCCGCGCCAAAAAAAAATTGCCAGACAAGATTTATGCAGATGTATTTGCTCTTTAGGCCTTAAGGTGTTGACAGCCGGAGTATTTTTAAGGGGAACAATTCCACAGGGATACGCAACTATTATACGGCATACACAAGATATTTGCGAATGTAAATTGCTGACGCTTAACGGTGACGGTATAACACTGTATGTAGTCTGGGATTTATGCTTTATTGCTAATGCGGGCATGAAAATACTGTTAGAGTATTCTAAAACAAAAATGTCAACGATTTCCTTCTCCTGGTACAATATTCTCAATAAGTGGCAATTAAATAAAACTATACTGTTAAACAGGATAGGCCTATCATACTATTGTTATGAATGTTTGAATATTCGAATTCTTTGAATAGACATTTATATTTCACAATAAATTAATTTATGAAATGTTTATTTTTATATTGAAAATCATTAAATTTATTTTGAAAAGTCAATGTTTTTCTTGGAATATACAAATAAGTTCTTTAAGTACCGGTTTAACGACTTAAAACATAGTATAATTAAATTTGAATACTGTATCTGTCCATCTACTGTTTCATTTGCGAGGATGTGCGCACAGAATCATGTCGTAGGCCCTATTTATTATTGCATTAACTCAAAATGCGAACGGATGACGATTAGATAAATAATATTAGGCCTTTATTAGCTCCTGGTTTATATTAGGCCTACTTATTCATTCAATGAGTGTGTTGGTATTAAAATTCTACATTTACTTAATGCAAGTCTATTGTATCAAGTAAATACTCTCCTCTTTCAACTCTTTCAAGCCTTGTTGGATTATATTTCATACTAAGAACGAGTCTAGTGACATTGTATTTGCAACAATATGAGTCGCCCTTATATAATAGAACAAGATTTTTAATCTACTTTTGAATTTAAAAAAAAACTGAAGTAAATGATGCGCATATAATGAGTCACGATATGAAGATGATGTTGATTGTGATAATGACGATAGTTATGGTGATGATGACGATGGTCATTCACCACCAACATCATTATCATCGTTATCATTATCATGTTCATCATCATCCCCATCATTATCATCATTATTAGCCCCATTATTCTGTAGATCTACGTTAACATACAAGTCGTCACCGACCAATCCTTGTTTTTGATAATATTCCAATAAAATGAATGAAACCTTCCACATGCAAGCAGCCTTAACATTTTGAACCATAGGCCTAGTAAAATGAAAATATTAGAACGGAAATTATATATAAATTGATTGATAATTTCTGCAATGGTTATGACGCTAATGGTTTCACATACTTAGCATGGCACTTGAACACCCATAACTATGGTATACACGACCACGCGTTTTTTTTTAGTTCGGTAAGTAATGCAAGTTGTTTTTTCGGGAAATATAGATATTTAGGATAAAGAACAAGTAAAATGCGGCTGTTAAAACCTACCGTTCATTTACGGTTCCTTACTGCCTGACGTCGGTGTAATTTAATTTTTACCTTGAGTTAGAGGCATGTAAATTATAGTGTTACCTTCAGTGGCGGATCCAAATTTGTGGAGGGAGGAGATAGGTTCGAATGCGGCGGTTGGAAAGGTGGTCCTGGAAAATTGGTATTTCCTTTCCCTGAAATGGACATTTTTGCATTCTGAGTAGCTCTAACAATGACGTAAATTTCTTTAAATTTTAGGAATTTTTTTCCGCATTGATAAGATTTTAATGATTAATAATGATGATAGCAATCATAATGCTAATGATGACGTCTATAGTAACGATAACATGAGCGGCACGGTTTAAGTGACGGTGTGAACAAAGCGAGTCCATGGGCCCGAGAAATGTTGCCAAGGAGAACCTGAATAAAACTCCGTTTCAATGTTTTGTAACAGACTATTTTCAGTGATTCTATATGTATATCTTAGAGCACAACATGAAAGAGCGACGTCTGCCTCCAAGCGTAACCATTTGCGAGCAGAAAACAAGCCTTCCGGCTGAGAGGTGCCCCAATCAGGGTTCGAGGGTCGTGAAAAAAAACCGTGAGTTTTAAGTCTATTGGAAAACTAATTCAGTAATTGCTTTATGGTCTCATGGCCTCATCAAATGTAATCTTCCGAGAATTTATTGCTGAAAAAGGAGTGTGAATGACGTCTGGTAATGTGGAGTCGAAGGCCGGAAAATCAGCGGTTCTGAAGTTGAAGCTTTAGGGGCAGTATAATATGGAACGCCTCCTCTGCCTTCAGTTCACAATCAACATGCAGTCATTACCAATCAGGCGTTCCACAGTATAACGTCGCAATTTGAGATAACGGCAGTGGTTGACAACAATAAAAATTTTCTCTTTTTCATTTCTAATAAACGTCTTTCAAAAATTAAATATCAACACTGATTTACCGTACTTATTAATTTCTCAAAGTAGAAATTTTTTTTTTCCTTTTTCTATAGTAATACTTTAGTATAGGGTTTCGAAAATGCAACGATACGGTATCCTTCATATTCATTAAGGCCTAATCGATATTGTTATGTTTTGCATCTTATGGAAGCAAATTTACGTAGCCTCTGAAAATCGAAATCTGGTGGAGTGTTCTCCCATCTTCCCCACCGTTGCTAACCTTGATTGTGCTCCCATCTGCCCCTTCCTTGGTAACATTGATATTGCACTCCCTATTTTCCCCTTCCTTGGCAACATTGATTTGTACAATGCGCAAATTTAATTATAGTCGACCTTCAATATATCATTTAAAATAATGGCGATCCAACAATTAGAAACAATGTTAGGATGTGTCCAATCACATTAGACAATCACCGACAAAAGTTAAGGTCATGGTAACTCAAGGAAGTTCCAAGACACTGGTTTAACCTTGACAATAACCGATGTTTTCAACTGACTCTCTGATCCATCATCGTCTGACCGGAGGCTCGTACACATCTAATTAAACCCCATACGGAATAGCTCGTCCTGTGAACTCTAATCAAACTAAGCCATGGCCCATGTCTACTGTATTTGAGGGACTACGAACAATATTTATTACGAATCTTGGTCGCATTGTTGTTGGTTTTTCTTTTTTTTGTGTGTTTTTTTTTTTTTTTCCAAAATTCAACATTAATTCTGTCATTATACTGACGCTAAAGTCCGTCCACCTCTTTTATTAAAATGAGGAAACACATGGCCGTATACTATTCGAATGGTCGTTCTTCGTTAAACCACGACCACCTGCGCAGCGGTAAAACTTAACGAAGGCGACCAGTCGAATAGAAAACTTGTAAAGACTCGACAAAACAAAACGGCTGCATATTTGGGTTTTTCGTAAAAAAAAAAATTCATACAGTGTTTGAATTCTGTTAGCCTACAATTATTTTTTGACTTAATGCGGGTAAATATTATAATTTTTATTTTCTGAAATTTAATCTAAATTATATTAACGCAAATGTTGTATCTAAACTCACCAATCGGCCATGTTTGTTTTGGTCACGTGAATAAATTAACGCTGATTAACGCACTCTGGTTTACGTTAATTTTACGAACCAGTCGAATGAAAATAATACTCAACGAGAATTCGTAGTCAACGAAATGAACCAGTCGAATACGCCCAATAATTAATACAGTAGTACATTAGTATTAGGCCAGAGCCAATTTTGTCTCAGAATAGATGTTGTACGTATAGGCAATAGTTGACACGTTCGTACCTCCATAAATTCCAGAAGCTTTTCACAAAAAACAAGTTATATTGTGTAATTATCTAGGAGTGGGAAGAAGTAATCCCTCAAAGAGCTAAATAATATAATATATACAATGCCAATTTTTATATAGCGCGTTATGCCAACTGAGGCCTGTTATGCGCTATATTGGATCCAAATACATGGAACACAAACTCAATCGTTTCATAAGTCTGAAAGCAGTGCTAATAGGTTTAACTAGTTACATCATATCAGGGAATTGTTGGTTATATCAAGTATGAATGTATAAAATGGCTTTTTAATGACTAAAGAAACTAGCGACAACTACTGTATGATAGGCTACCGTACATTAAAGGGAATGTTTCGGTTGTGCCTCCTTCAATGAAGTTGTTATCTTCTAATTTTATACCTATACATCAAGGAAAACTTCAGCCTCAATTCCGTTCACCAACATCTTGAGTTGTAGGCCTACATAAACAAACCGATCAATTTTAGGTTGAGCTCATCCTTATATACCTCCCAAGTTTACGCCTACTGTCAACTCCGAAACTAATTAGAATGATAACAAAGTATTATTTCACAATCTATGAGAGGATTTTTAAATTAATTTATATTAGCTGATTTGTAGGCCCAAAAACTTCACTTATCATTACCGCAACTTCTTTATTTTGGCAATGAACGGAATAGGTCCAATTGCCATCAAGATTGTGCAAATTCTATTCATTCAATTCAATTAAGCTCCGATAGGCATACTGAGCTCCAGGCATGTACACAATGAGCTGTTTCCCGTTTATTGTTTAAATTAAAAAAAAAACTTCCCTGATAATGATACAAAAATTCTAAATGCCTGCCTTAATATAGGAATTTAGAAAGTTACGCTACTTACCAGACCTGTTGTGACGTCTTGAGCTCTTGTGCACCAAGCTAAGCAGCCAAGAATTAGTAATGTTACCAAACAAATAGTTTTCATTTTTTCGGTTTCTTCGAAGCTACCAGCTACATACGCAATAAGTTGAAATAAACGTAACCTCTACTTGAATGCAAGTATTTCTGTCGTGGACGTGGGTTTTGTAAGAGTATGTCACAATTAAGCTCTTGTTATTCAGAAACAAAAAACCAACCGAAGCAGGACGGTTCCTGACCGCTCTGTTCAGAAAGCACACTACAGCTTAATTGTTCGCTTGATCGCTGACTCCGGGAGCTATAATATCATATTTGGTGACGTACGACCCATTGATAACACTTTCTTATAGCGTCTACAGTTCAGCGGTAACGTGATGGATGACTCACCCTCACCACATGGACACCCATACACAAGGAAATCCTATACGATAGCGTTGCTATGTTCATATGTCAACTATCAGATGATGATTCTCCGATTCCGGTAAAAAAACGATGAATTTGATTTCTTTGTTCAACTTCTAGTAAATCGAGATGCGATCTAGTTTAACATCTCTATATAATTATATAGGCCTATTCCTTATAGGTTCTTTGGCCTATTCGTTAAATTCAGTAACCTATTGACCTTATGAATATTCATGAGATGAGATCATCGGCAATTTAACACTGACCATATATGGTGTACAAGCGGAAGCCAATAAGCCTTCCGCACTCTAAAATTTCTTTTGATGGCAATAAACACATATAAAAACATCCGTTCCAAATAATGCGTGCAGTATTAAAGCATATGTATTGAGATTAACGTAATAAAAGATACAATATCGTGCGTATTATGTCCACTTCTGCTTTGGTTGAATTCTGATTTTATGTGTTTGACAATTCTTTCTCTATTTTGTGCGTGGAACTCCCCTTAATCAA